ATGTTTTAGTCTCATATTGAGACCTATTTTTGGCATAGGAAGTGATCGAATTGGAGAATGATGTCTGAATTAAAGTTGTAGCCAGATGAGTTAGCTTTCCAACGCATTTTGCATCGCCTCAATAGGATATCAGAATACAAAGTTATGATAAAAGCACTGAAAGAAGATGCAACTACCTGTTTAAAACAAGAAATTCCGTTACATAGTCCGTTAAAACAACAAATTCCGTTAGTTTTTTCGTTAAAAACAATAAATTCCGTTACATAGCCACTTTTAATATATAGAAGATATGCTATACTTGGAAAAGAACAAACTATTAGTGAACTGTATAGATGAAACAATAAATAAATTGATCGTCAAAAGAGAACAAATTTGCAAAACGATGCATTTGTAAACACAATGTCCTTAAAACAAATTTGTCCCATTACCGTAAGTGCTTGAGAATTTAGCGAGCTTCTATTTCCCCGGATACAAAGGAGAAACCGTAGAAATTTAGCAATGAATTTCTACATCGGCGAACTGAATATATATTTGAACAGAACACCATGACTCTAGACGGAAACTGAAAATACTGAAAGATAGAAAACCAGAAAACAGAAACTGAAAGTTGTATGTGCAGAAAGTGTATTCGTGTGTGTGGAGTGGACATGATTCAAAGGAGAAACCTGTAGAAATTTAACATTGAATTTCTACATCAGCGAACTTAATATATGTTTGAACGGAACACCAAGACTCTAGACGGAAATTGAAAATATTGAAAGATAGAAAACCAGAAAACTGAAACTGAAAGCTGTATATATATGCAAAGAGTATTTTTGCTTGTGTTGAGTAGAAGAAAAATGGCTTGTTTAAGTAGGATGTAAAGTAGAATCAATCTCTCTATGTTGGAAAATAAACCAAATTAATGATAACTGATGAATTCAATAATCATTTACTAAACTTTATTTTAGTGTCTACAGGTATTCCAATAACTAGTTGAATAAGTTGAAGAGTCTTTTGTTTCCTATAAATTAGAATGTAATCTGCAGTAATTTTTTAAGGTAATAGAATTGAGCATTTCTGATAATATACTTCTCAACTTTTCTTGCCTTCAATCTATAAATATGCCATTAACTCCAAATTATATTGGCAATAAAATTGAAGTTTCAATAGTTTTAGAATATCAAAAGTCAGTTAGAGGAAGCAAAACGTGAACACTCCTAAGGGACCAATATTTGGCTCATTCGGTCCTACATTTGTGTGCGCTAGACGCGCTCGCACACAAATTCAAGATCCGATGTGCACTTTCGATCCTTGATTTGCACCCCCCACGAGCGCACGTGGAGAGAGTCTCTATGCCACACATGATTATATCCTTCCAAAGTGTTACTATATATAAGGTGGTCATTGCTTTTATAATTTTCCTATGTGTGACAAACTACATATAGTTTTCCATCCAAGCACCATGTTTCATACGTATGAAATATTTGAACTTCCCAGTTTCATGCGTATGAAATTGCCTTTTCAAACTCCTTTTAAGTCATCAAATTTGAGCTTTAATTTTTCATTCACCTGATTATCATTTTTTACAAGTAAATATATGATTTTGTTGTTCTCACGGAAGAGAACATGAATCAACTTCAATCTTCCAAAATGAATGAACGAGTCGCACACAAAATTATGCCAATACAGCCCCATTAAAACCATTTTTTCCCAACACAAATTTCTCTGCTGAACTTCTGGGTGTCACATATTTATGGGGAGGGACAAGTAGCAGTACTTAACAACATATGCAGTGAAACACAAGGCATTCTCATAGTGGTCTACATGCCCGGTGTTGTGCTCCATATTGGTTTCTGGTGATATAACAGTCAACTGCAACTATCAGTTTATGCTTTGATTTTTTTTTCTAATCTGGAATGTAATTTGCGGCATGAAAATTATATTATATTTGTTCTTAATAATAAACTATTTTGGTGGGTAAATAATGAGAGTGCTACGGAGGTGTAAACTTGGTTGGGATGTTGCGGTGCACCTACTGATTAATGCAACTTCACATAAAAAAAATCCTCTCCTTTAATTTCCATATCTTATTCTTTTAGAGATGACGTTTCTCACTTCCTCTAGCAAGTTTCCCTGAGGCGTAAGGTGTAACAATGGAGCAAGGTCAAGCTTCAAATTTTAATAAAAAAACGTTTTCTTATGTTAATATTATTTTTATTTTTTATAAGAATATTAAATTAATTAATTAATGCATACAAAACAACTAAATTCATAAAAAAAAAACCATAATTTTTTAATAATTCCTACAACTAGAGAATTTTCAAGTTTCTAAAAACTAGTNATAATTCCTACAACTAGACAATTTTCAAGTTTCTAAAAACTAGTTAAACGAGAATTGAAAGCACAAGACCCTTTTTGAATTAGATGAGTCCAAGAAACTGTAGACGCTAATTTAGTCCATGATAATTTTTCTAAAAACTAGATAAATTAGGACCAACTTAGCCATTAGATTCAAGAAATGGCTCTAAAAATTTGTTTTAAACAAACTAAAGGGTGGACCACCTAGGCTTCTCTACACCTGCATTAGGCGGTCAAGAGAGAAATTGACTAACCTTCTTCATGCCTTGCTCATATTTGAGGAGTTTTCATGCCTAAGTGCGCCTTTAAAGCGCCTTTCATGCCTCTTAATTCACTGCCTCTAGCTAGCAACCAATCCTTTTTGTTTACCTATAAACAATAAATCCTTTCTTTTCATAAAATTATGTTTCTGTTTTCTCAAGAAAAATTAGAAAGTGACATCCATTTATGCCTTCATATCAGATATCCTTTCACTTTCATAAATCACTCACCTAATTTCGGTGCCTTGATGAATAACAACCACTTCAAGTACGGCTGAAATTATAATAATTTCAAATTTAAAACTCGTTAAACAATTCATGTAAGGTATATCCCCCATAATTTATTATCTTCTTAAATGTTCCCCAGAAAATGCTTACCAAATCTATTCAATTCATCGCCCAATCTACGAGAGAAAAGGTTCCAAAACTATTAAATCCATGATGAGATAAGGAGACGACTTCTAATTGGAATTTCTTATATTGCTTTATAAGAATATGAATATAAAATAAAAAAAAAGTTAAAATCTTGTATAATATCTGTTACGTCTCTTCCAATAAAGCTCTAAGCAAGGCCATGTGGTACAGCATGTGAGCCCAGGCCTACATTCCACGTCATTGTGCCCTTGTCGCAATTCTGTTGAACCTCTATAGGGAGCTGAGCCATCATGGATGAGGTGAGATAGGTAGAGATTTTTACATATCAAGATCTTGTATCAAGTGGATAATGTGACAACTTACTGAATTGGCGGCTCTGATTAATCAACAAGTCAAGTCTAGTCTTATGGGCTACCAAGCAGTTACAACATTAAATGCAGCATGGTCTAGAAATGTTGATTGATGTATATGACAAGAGGCCCCAACCGCTAGAATGAGGCCGTGTCTCTCTTCATCCAATGACTCTTTCTCATCATTTTCTACTACATAAGTTCACACTTAACGTCATTTCAGGGTAATGCATGTTTAGACTTTCAAACTATAACTTTGTCATATCACCATTCTATTTATTATTCCCCAAAGCAGACCCCCTTTTTATATTGGAAGCTCTTCTAAAGCTCTTCTATACTCATATTTTTCTTTCCCAACTGATTTGGCTGTCGTAGTGCGGCGATTGATTCCACTCCCATCGGAGGAGGCCACCTACGTGTGGCTAACGGTTTGTTTAATTGTGCAGGATGTGGGAGGCCTTGTGATCTGTTAGCCACGGGAAATGTACATTTTTTGGGTCAACAATATCGATACTATTGACTATGTACCAAAACACGCACAAAATGCAAGTTAAAATCTTTATGCTCTATATTATTGTTACGTACATGCTATAAATGTCCATGAGGCTTCTTACTTTGAACCTCTAACTGCCATAAATTGTGGCTGCTAACTGTCATCTCCTCACCTTGAACTAAAATCAATGCCACCCACCTTATATACTATTGACTTTCCCACACTTCTTCCCTATTTAAAAGCATCAACTTATTTTCCCTGCAAAAAGAATCAAATACCACCAATGGAGGAAGTGAGAAAACGAGAAAATGGGACCATGGAGAATCAAATCCAAAGAAAACCAAGAATTCTTTGCCTCCATGGATTCAGAACGAGTGGTGAAATCCTGAAGAAATTGATTTCTCGATGGCCCGAATCTGTTCTTGAGGAGTTGGATCTTGTGTTTTTAGATGCACCTTATCCTGCTCAGGGTAAGTCTGATGTTGAAGGGATTTATGATCCTCCATTCTATGAGTGGTTCCAGGCCGATAAGGTAACAGTAATTGTTATTTTCTTCTTTCTTTTTTTTTCATTTTTTTTTTATTATTATGGCTACTGTGATGCGTTAAATAGGCATCACCAATATCGAGTTCAGTGAGGTGAGCGGCTTGTCGGTTTGGCTCTCCCCGCTAGCACCCCAGGCAAGCTGTGGACGCAAGCCACTCTTCGGCTTGCGTGTGAGCCAGTTCATCTCATGGTCGCAAACGGCTCTTATTTTAGTTAAAAAGTTCAATTTTTGACTCACAAAAGAAAAATGAGGCGAACTGCGAGTGACTCATGAACTGAGTCGAGTCGAGTCGAGCCCGACAAGCTCGGCTCTGCTTGCTCCATTTAACACCAATAGTGTTCATATTTCTTGATCAATAACTGCAGAAGGAGACAGAGAACTCTCTTTTTGTATGCTCACATTTTTTGTATTGATAATAAAGTACATATGTTTATAGGATTTCAAAGAATACTACAATTTTGAAGAATGCCTTGATTACATTGAAGACTATATGCTAAAGCATGGACCATTTGATGGTGTTCTGGGTTTTTCTCAGGTATGTCCGCTTTTGCTTATAAATTTGAAGTAGGTTAGATGAATCTTTGTCGCTCTCAAAGAACGGAGAGCGAGAAAGAGATTCATAAACTTATTACTTGAGCAATTTCTCGATAAATTTAGAGTTGACTATCTTAATCTTTTTTCGTCTCTCAATTCAATTATTTTGTGTATCCATTTGATAGGGTGCACTTTTATCAGCAGCCTTGCCCGGCATGCAAAGGGAAGGTGTAGCACTTACCAAAGTTCCAGATATAAAGTCTCTCATTGTTATATCAGGAAGCAAATTTGGGGGTTCCAAATTTGGGTTGCCCAAACTTGCCGCCAATGCATTTTCATCTCCAATCAAGTGCCCATCACTGCACATTATAGGTATTGTCAAACCCTTTGTTTTACTTCTTTCTTTGACGGTTTTGAGTTCGAGTATGTTGCATTCTTTCCACGTGAGGTATACTTGATATGCAGTACTCGACTAAGTCAGACAATTTAATAGAACGGGATTTTGACCTTTTCTTTTCTTCTTTAATAACATGTCTAGTCCATGATTCCAAACATGCTACTAAAATAAAAGTGGTTAAATTAAATTGAGTAAATTACTATATTTATAAGTGCTTATTAAAACATAGTCTCAACATTGTATATATCATGTGTATATTTTTCGAGGTGAATTGGACTTCATGAGGGAAGAGGGTGAAGCTTTACTGAACTCTTTTGTGGATCCTGTTGTGATTAAACATCCCAAGGGACACACAGTACCAAGGTTAGGTGAGTATTGCTACTTATTTTATCGTAATTTATTTTAGTTGAAAACTTAAGTGCACATTTGTCACGTAATATTAGATCGAGTTAGAGAGTATGTTTTAATATTAGCTATCTCTATCCATTCCTCCTGATCTAACAAGCCTCAATTAAATATAAATATTTTTTATTGAACTATCCTTGTAATAGTCGACATTATCACCACCATAACCCTACCATTAGACGTTGTTCTTATTTTATTAAATAAAATTTAAAGGTCGTTTGTCATAGATTATATTAAAATTATTATTCTCAAAATCATTTGCAACCACAACATTTTCTCACTTTTTAGCAACACATTTTTCAAAAAAAATTTATTTTTCCCTTGAAAAAATCCGTGCCAAACAAAGCTTTTAGTACAATTAATATACTAATCAAAAGTGATCAGAAAATGTGTTAGGTTGAGATGTTGGCCTCAAATCCTTGGAAAGATGGGACACACCCTAGTCACCTTGTATGACTTTGTTTTTGTTGTTGCAGTTGGGGAAGACCTTGAGAAAATGCTGGATTTTATTCAGAAAATGTAATTGCATGAGGTGTAAAACATTTTAATGTTGAATCTATTTCTCACTTCCATATGTAATATTCATGAAATGACATCTGTAATGAAATATTTTAAGAACCGTGCTACTTGTTCTGGGATTAAATCCCGAGTCAAACTAGGCGTCCCCTATTGGATAGGGGATCCTAGTTTGACCTATCCAATAGGGGGCGCCTGGTTTGACCTAGGGTTTAATTCAGGGACTGCCAGCTTTATTGATATTTTAATGATAGATTGGGACTTTAGCTATGAATCATTTGCAGTTCATTTATTTGTGCAATATCTATTATTTGTCTTTGGCTTGTAATTGCTGAAAGCAGGAATTGCTGCACTTAATTATTCAATTTTTTTTTTCAAAATGATTATTCAATTCACATTTTCAAAATGATTGTTCAATTCACAATTTTTTACCTCCCCTTAGTCTAAGTTACTATATTTAACTGTTAATTTTAAATATTAAAAATTTTTACTTAATATATATTTAAATTTTGAAAATATCAATTATTAATTTAACTCTTTCAAGTTATTTTTTTATTGTTCTTTCTTAAAAGAAAAAAGAAAAAAATTATTTTATTAGAGTGCCGCTATTTATATCCACAATTGTTATATATTCATCATGGTCTATATTCATCCCGATTAAAATATTAAAATTTTAAAAAACTATTATTTTCATCCACGTCAGATTTTAATATTATCCTTATTAAATTCATTCATTTGAATATTATAGATCCACACAAATTTTATATAGTCATCTCACTCTAAATACATTCCTAATACAATTTCAAAAAATCACTATATTCATCCAAACTTTAATGTAAAGTATATTTTTGTGTAGAGCTAAATGCAATTACTGGTGGGGGCAAGACTTCCATCTCTGACGTGATTTTGTTATTTCAAAAACAAAAATAAAAACGGATGAAATTTATCTTCGTGTATTTTCTTTAAGGGTACGTTTGATTGCAAAGGTGAAAAATGGGTGGAAAGAAAATGTTTTACAGGAAAAAGATTTGCCTAAATAATGTTTTATAGGGAAAATGATTTCAAGTGTGTTTGATTAGTATAATTTTCCACCCGAAAAATTTTTAACTTTTCTATTCGTTTGACTTTGTTTTACATGGAAATTGTCCATTAAAGTGATATTTTTTTTTCCACAATTGGTTATAAAATTTGTTTCCATTGCCAAAAAGTAACAAAAAGAAAAGGGGAAAAAAAATTGTTTCCTAAAAAATCATTTTTTTAATCAAAGTTTAGTATTCGTTTGATTTTGTTTTACATGAAAATTATTCATTAAAGTGAAAATTTTTTTTTTTTACCATTACTTATGACGTTTGTTTTCATTGCCCAAAAAAAAAAAATTCCAACCAGTCGGGAAAATATTTTTTTTCGCCTATTAAACAGCCAAAAAGGTGAAAAGTGGAAAATATTTTCCCACTTTTCCGAAAAATGTGGCATATCAAACACGGCCTAATAGTAATACTAAATTCACAATAAAACGTAATTTTTACTTTTTTAAAATTCTTCTTCATATATTGTTGTATCTTCATGTATTTCCGCCAAAGGTAATCCTTCCATTGTTGTTTTGATTTCAGTTGAAAATTATATTTTATGATTCTTAGAGTTTTATGATTTTAGTTGCAAATGATATTTTATGATTATTAGAATTTTAGTTGAACACAAATTCTAAAAGAATTTAATGAAAATAAATATTTGCGGATGAATTCAGAACTATATATTTTTATTTAATTTTATATATGTCTATTTAGATAAATTTACATAAAATTAAAAATATAATATAATTATCTTTTTAAAAGTGGATATATATAGCGGTGTCAAATGACTAGAAACCGAGGCTTGTTCTACCATCGAAGACTAGCACTCACTCCGGCAATAATGCGCGAGCGGGCAAAAACTCGAACAGGAATGGAATTAAGCAGAGAATGAGAGTAGAGTAGAAGCGCCAATTAGAGAATGTAGCTCATCAATTCGTATTGATTTCAGCGATTGGAAGTCAAAGTCTCAGATAGACTCCGAGGCTCGTTTCAACTCTGCTCACATCATTTATGAGCTATCTGAGTCTCTGTCACCTCTTTCGTTTTTGTTCCGAAAGGATAACGCATGTGCTACTATATAAATATTAAATATATTGGTTTTTGAAATTTCTAAAGAGAAATTTGTATGATAGGGACACCTTCAACTGAAATTAATATCATTTAAAGCAATTTAATATTGTGTGTACCAGAGTCTAGTGCAAGAAATGTAGTGCATATTGGGTATACAGTATTACACAATTCAATGGACGGAATTTTAACTTGTTTTTTTATTTATTATTGTTCTCCACCTTAACGGTTATGAACAAACCCGATATCAAAAACGTTTTTGATATCGCTTGTTGAGAAACCGACCAAATAATTAAAAACGAAAAATATGAACAATATGAAATTTAATGGATCGCACACCAATTAAGAAAATTGTGAAAGATGAGAATTTATTATACCAAGAAATAAACAATTGTCTTACAAGATTTGATCATCTCAATATAATCTAAACAATTATCTCTAGTTTCTAATGTATACAACAATGATCTAATTGTTATAATCTCTCGAGTCTTTCATTTTTTTTTTTTTTTTTGGAAATGCCTATACCTTGTGGAGTATTTATAGAAGTCAAATCTCGAAATTGTGGATGAGATAGAGTCCAAGATGGAGAAAAAGTCACAAAATTCGGATGAAACGAAAAAATCGCGAACAGTTACTGTTGCAGTGCTAGGCGCTAGGTACAGCGCCTGAGCGCTACGCCTAGTGCTTAGGTGCTATGTGTCTGGCGCTTGGATGTGAGGTCCCTACCTTCTTTTTCCTATTGCTTCAATTCTTGGTGCCTAGGCGTTAGGTCTCGGGTTAACATTTCAAAACATATTTTTTTGCTATTCAAAAGTCCTTTTTCAAGTCAAACTTCTAATTATTATTGAAATTTGATCTTCACAACTTAAGACTTTACAAATTCAAGTACCTTAGACTTTATTCAATCAACCAAATTCCAAATCACATGGAATTCAATCAACCAAGACTTCTAAACCAAGATTAAATAAACTTCCTTCTTACAACAAACTTTTAAATCACATAGAATTTTTATCACAAAATCTAACATTACCGAACATGCGTAGAGTTTCATAGTGCGTATGAGAGGAAAGAATGCTGGTTAAGCCTATTGACAGCTCGTTTTCGTTGAAGAAATAATATAGCAAATACTTCTTGCCAATGTCTTCTTGAGGTGTACAGCATTACCGACGCCAATTCCGGTGTGGCATAACAGTAATAAACTTGTTAAATGACAGTAAAAAGTAGTTGGAAGTTGACTTTCTGCTTAAAGTGAAGAATTCTTTTCTGTAATTTAGGGTTCTTGGATTTTGTTTTCTAAACATGATTAATGTAAGGTTATAATTAGAATACTAGCCACTTAATTATCGATGTAAACAGTGATTGCTAGGATGATATTTTCTCTGGTATGTTAAGTTCAACGGGATTAAACAAGATAGCCAATAATTTCTTTTGTACTTGATGTGACTGCACAAAGATAACTGATAAATTTCATCATGTATCTACATTTCTATATATACTCTCGAGTCTTGTCTAATCTAGTTTATTAAGTCCCAGCCTGGTTCTGATTTTTTCATCTAAACAATTGATTTTTTTATCGTTGATTTGCAACACATGGGTCCCACTGAGAGAGAGGAAGGTCAAATGTTACAGGTGCACCAGGGATAACGGTTGGAAAATCATTTAAAATCAGGAAAAAAAAGCGGAAACAGGCAGGGCTAAATATCATTTTCGAAATAGATGTGAATGAATGGAGGTCAAGCCTCAAGTCTTACGTGCCTAGGCGTGCATAGCCAAAGCCTAGCCGTAATAAGTTCTTTTTATTTTTATATTATTTTAATTGTTTTACATCAATAAATAAATAAAATAACGTATACCTTGAAAATATATAGGACTTCCATACATATTTTTCAATTTTCTAATAAAAATATAATTCTCAAAATCATAAATACTACAAATCAATAAAATTTTAGTGTTATCTATTCTTATTCACTTGTGATATATGCAGTTTAATGGGAGAAATGAACATTAGTATTATATTCAGTTTAGTTCTTCGGAAAAGTATATATGAGAATGGAGGTTGCAATCAATATTGTTACTGGATTAAAAGAATAAAATAAAATCGTTCGTTGATAGAATTCGATACGACGTTTGATGATTTTTTTATTATTATTTATTTTATTTTTTAATTATATTCTTTTTTTATTTTTTAATTAGAATCCAGTTAGATTCTAGCTGGCTTAGAAGTTGTATGTAGTAACTATTTTTTTAATTTGAAGTCGATTTTATGAATATTATTTTGTCGCTTCGTTCAATCATTTTCCTACTGAAATTAAACAATGGGAGGCAGGCCAATTAAATTTCTGGGGTTCATATTTATAATTCTCATCAACCATGGCAAGGACACTAGTCCTATTGAAATTTAGAGTACTACAAACAATTGAAAGCCGTACAGATTGCATGTTTTGATGAAAGAAATTAAATATATTTGATTACTTCTCTCAGGGCCCAATCCTAAGTTCAAAAAAAAAATCAGTAAAAAATAAATAAAAATTTGTGTCATTTTTTTTTTTAGCCCGTGTCCAATTTTTTTCTGAATTTGCCCTGACTTCTCTATTTGCTTCTAAACTCTTCTAACAATTTATATTTAAGTACATAAAAAGACAATAATACGATACAGTTATCACATTTATGTCGTGCTTAACATGATTCAAATTGAATGCATACTAAGCCCCTATTTGGTAGATATTAATGGTGTGTTTGAGCCACATTATTTTGGAAAAATGTATAGATTGATGAAAAATGTGTGGTTGAAAAAAAAAGTTATTGATGCGATGGAAAATATTATTTTGCCAAAGAATTTGTGGTTGAAAATGAGTAGAGAAAAAAAATG